AAGCTGAGTGATGCGACAGACTTTGGGCGAGAGTCTGAGCGTCATCATGCCAGCACCATGCCAGTCCTCCCGCCCCCCCCCCCACGTCAGATGCCGGCGTCCCAAGCTGGTTGTGCTCTCGGATCTGATCCTTCGCCGGCGTGGAGGGAATCGCATCCCACCCCTGACGCTGTGCGACATGGACGAGATCCCCGAGGATACCCTGGCCATTTTGGAGAGGTAGGCAGGTCCAGCGCAGCTCCGTTGAACTGGGTGACATGCCAGCCATGCTGGCACTGGGTGTGGCGAACTGCACACCTGTGCAGCTGCTGTGCTTTTCCTTCAAACATGGATGCATGAGAGTCTCCAAGTAGACAACATGCGAATCGTTACTGCTCTCCTATTTCGCCCAGGTACTTCCGAACGTCCCTTTCGCAAGGCGACAGCCAGCCTGAGATGTACCCTCCTGGATCGGTCATGTTCCTGCGCCCCTTCAAGAGCGGGCGCAAGAAGACGCCAGTGCAGTGGGATGCCGTGTGGATCAACGCCGCTGGTGAGTGTAGGGCCGGCTGTCTGTGGCTCTTTACAAAGGTAAGGAACCCCACCCTTCATCAATCGTTCCGATGGCAATCCGTCCGTCCTCTCCATCCTTGGCACAGACCTGATGGGGGAGGGGCTGCACATCTCCCCAGCCATGATGCTACACCATCGACTATATAATTTGACCGAGGCATTCGAGAGCTTCTTCGCAATGTACGATATTTCTCTGGAGGGAGGTGCGGTCCGCACACCTGCTACCAAGCCGAGGATCAGGAGAGTCCTTGGCAAGTGCTGTGTGTGACAGCAGATTTTCCAGTGTATGCCAGCGTCATCAACGGGCTTGGACAGCATGTATTCTAGTCAGTGATATCATGATCATGCGTGCGGCGCCACCTCGAATTCCAGGGACACTGAAGACAATCACTTGTAGCCTCAATAAGTGTGGCGACTTGGCTTGCATGAACAATTTGTGTGGAAACCATGAATGATTACATGGTCGCGCACGTGTTTCTCCAACCGACCGCAAACCAGTGCAAGCCGAGCACACGGGGCCAAAACATGCATGCATGTTCGGGAATATTAACTAAAAAGCGCTTAGTCTGTCTGTGACTTACTGCCAATCGCAGCGTTCAACCAGTGCACTCGAAGGGCCGAAGCACGGGTGCTGAAGATGTTGGCGACCACCGCGCAACACAGGGTGCTGGGCACCTCCAGCAGCACGTTGGTGGGTTCGAGAGTGTGAGCGTTTATTTTGTGATTTCGTTATTCTCTGAAAGGTTTACGATCGCCGTTTCTTCTCCCCGGCAACAGGCCAAGGCCGCCACCGCGCCATTCAAGGTCACGGCCATCAGGAGATCCAGCAAAGGCATCCGGGCATCCACATCAGGTTCGTTTCGCGGGAAGCTCACGCATATATATGCGTTGTGCATACTCTCATGACACGTGGAACAGGCACGATTGGCTGCTTGCACATTTGAAACCCCTGTTAGGAACATGGGAGAACCCCAGTCCATGCCCCCCACGCCTTTGTGTCTTTTCACCCTCCCACAGTCCGTGCCTCCCTGTCCACCAATGGTAAGCCCACTGTACTGGTGGCGGAGAAGCTCGGAGCTGGTGGCGTGGAGATGCTGAAGGAAGTGGCGGATGTGAGGACCGTCCTGAACATGACCAAGGAGCAGCTGCTGGAGAACATCAGCACTGTGGATGCCATTGTCATTCGCTCTGCGACCAAGGTGAGCATACAGATGTGGTTGGTCTTGATGTATCTATCGGTGGTTATGGTGCAAGGAACATGCAGGTTGGAGACTGTGTGACCAGCTCAGTCTCATGTCAAAAGGGATGGTCTCAAGCAGCCTACGAGGTGTCTGCCAGTGCTCCATTCTCACTTGTCCGATTGCACTGTCCAATCACACTCCACCCTGCAGGTGACACGCGAGGTGTTTGAGGCATCCAAGGGCCGTCTGCGCGTGGTCGGGCGTGCTGGCGTCGGAATCGACAATGTTGATCTCACCGCCGCGAGCGAGGTGCGAACAGCAGCACTGTCGGGAGTGTGTGGTATGGGAGGTCTGGGGTACGTCACACGCATCCCTCTGCCAGCTTTGGGGGGCATGGGTGTGCTTCGCGGGGATCCAGCAACGAGAATTTCATATAGCAACTCCAGCAACTGATCCTCTACCCTTCACTCGTGCGCAATGCATGCATATGCAACACTGAAGCCTTCAGACACCCCTCTCACGCTCCTCACCCTCCACTCTCAAATCGCCACCCCTGTTCCCACTCCCTTCCCCACACTCACAACAGACCGGATGCCTAGTGGTGAACGCCCCCACTGCCAACACGATTGCCGCCGCTGAGCACGGCATCTCCCTGCTCACGGCTCTGGCCCGCAACGTGGCCCAGGCCGACGCCTCCATGAAGGCCGGTGGCTGGGACCGCACTACCTACGTCGGGGTTTCTGTCGTCGGGAAGACGCTGGCCATCATCGGCTTCGGGAAGGTGAGGTCGTACTTGGGGCAGGGCCGGTGCATTCCCATCTGCCGCTCCACGCTCAGCTGTCCTGCAAGAGGGCCCATTCAGTCACTGCGGCAGACATGGGTCTGGCTGCCATGCTGAGCCGCTCTGGCGTAGTCAGGGGCGGGTGGCAGCGAGGCAACATACTCTGCAGCCGAGCAACCCCGGAACACCTCCCACCACACTTCCCGACAGGTTGGCGGCGAGGTGGCTCGCCGCGCCAAGGGCCTGGGCATGACCGTGATTGCCTTCGACCCCTACGCATCCGAGGAGCGCGCCGCCGCAGGTGGGACCGTTCCGGGGGGGAGGGGGGGGGGGGGGGCTTGACCGGGCGACCGCGGGGCTGCAGCATGCGACCCGACTGTGCCCAACCCGACCTGAGCCGATGGCGGGGCTGTGTGTGCCGTGCAGCCGGGGCGGAGGCCTGGTGGGGGGGGCGAGGTCCGCGGGGACGCCCGCTCTCCTGCTCACCGACCTCCCCCTGCGCCCATGGCAGTCGGCGTGAAGCTGGTTTCCTTTGACGAGGCCCTGGCCACGGGCGATTTCTTCTCCCTGCACATGCCGCTGACCCCCACCACCAAGAACCTGTTTGACGACGCGGCTTTCGCCAAGGTAGGCAGCGACGCGCTCTGTGCTGGGTGAAGTCGCTGGTGAAGCAGTGCGGTGGCTGGGGTCCATACTCCTGGCTGTTTTGGAAATACACGGCAACCTGTCTGATGTCTCAGGGTCCATGGGGGGTGGTCAGCCGATGCCCATCTGCCTCACGTTGCCCTGCAGATCAAGAAGGGATCCCGCATCATCAATGTCGCTCGCGGCGGCGTCATCGACGAGGCTGCCCTCGCCAGGGCCCTCGATGCCAAGCAGGTAGGGTGTGAGGTTGTGAAGAGTGTGGGGATGAAGCGAGTCAGCACTGTTCCGCTCCAAGGTACACACCGGCCGCCTCATGCCCATCTGTGGACGCAAGGGCGCGCTGCCGCCCTGAGCCTGTTGTGCCTGGCTCTGCCACCTGCCCCCCGGCGTCATGCTCCTCTGCCCCATCATTGCTCCCTCCAGGTGGCCGGAGCTGCCCTGGACGTATTTGCCCAGGAGCCTCCTGCAGCGGACAATCCGCTGGTGAACCGCAAGGATGTCATCTGCACCCCCCACCTGGGCGCTTCCACCAAGGAGGCGCAGGAGGAGGTGTCGTACGAGATTGCAGAGGCCGTCGTCTCCGCCCTCAACGTGAGCTGTGGTGCCAGGAGTTGTCTGGCAAATGGTGTATGCCATGGCATGGCGCGCATCCCCCCCCCCCTCCCGGGCGCGATGACGGCCTGATCCACCAACGGCGCACCCCTTTCCCGAGCACTGGCCATGCCCCCCCCCCGCCATACCCCTGTTCCCAGGGTGAGCTGACGAGCAGCGTGGTGAATGCCCCCATGGTGCCCCCCGAGGTGCTCAAGGAGCTGGCCCCCTACGTCGGCCTGGCCCAGGTGGGTCGGTGTGGCACGAGGTGATGCCCTGCCCCACTCCCGAATGTGGGACGTGCGATGCCGGCGCAGCGTGATCATGGGCGGGGTGAGGTGCCGATGTCTTTGGTGTCCAGCTTCGCGCCTCCAGATGCCTTGGGCGTGTGCTTGGCAAGGGCCTGCATGCTCACTCCCACACTCTGGACTGGCCATCCGGCCCCTGTTTGCAGAGCCTGGGCCATGCTGCCGTGCAGCTGGTGGACGACCACGGGTTCTCCGAGGTGCACATCACGTACCACAGGTGAGCATGATGGGGGGTGCCCAGCAGTACCACTGCGCAGAGGATCAGGGTGGTGTGAGGGACGACGCAGTGGTCATGTGGAGAACTGGCGACAATGCCCTAGTCACCTCACCTGATTGTGAACCCATGTGGGGTTTGAAATTTGCCTCGCAGCCCCCGCGGAGATCTGCTGGACTCTCGGCTCCTCCGGGCCAACGTCGTGCGTGGGATCCTGCAGCAAATCACCACTTCCCAGGTGTGCGGACTGTGGCCCTGGCAGTGATGGCAAGGCGGGGGTCCACGGGCCAGCACTGCGTGACTCTGCTGTCGCGCTGATGGCGAGCTGGGTGTGCCTCAGCGTCCTCTGATCCAGGGACCCGCATGATGCTTGGGTGGTCACCCGCCGCCCAGGCGCCTGGTCGGGATAATGACACATGGAATGTCGAGCACTCCTGTCTTCATCCCCCTTTGCTCCCTCACATGAGACCCTGTCGTGCAGTCCCACCATCCCCTCCTCGACTCGAATGCACATCCGCCCAACCCCTCGCACAGGTCAACATCGTGAACGCCGACCTGCTCGCCAAGAAGCGCGGGGTGCGCATCGTCGAGACTGTGGTGCCCTCCGAGGGCGCAGCGGTGCTGAACAGCCTGGAGGTGGCCATCGTCTCCCGCGCCTCCCGCTTCTCCTCCGCCGTCAACGGCCGGGGCCAGATCAGCGTGTCGGGGGCAGTGAAGAGCGGCAAGCCCTTCCTCACGCAGATCGGCGACTTTGATGTCGACTTGGCCACTGAGGTGGGCTCTCCTGGGGTGGAAAGGGGGAACAGGGCGTTGTCCTTGAGATGATGAGCCGTCGGGCGTTGTCCATTGGATGAAAAGGCACCGGGCCTCGTCCCCAGGCACCGCCGCACGACCAGCATGCCGTGTGACTGGCCAGTGTGGTCCTTGCTGCGACGCTGCCGTGCCTGAGGACTGCCCCACTCATGCCAGCCCTGCTGACACTCCCTCCTCGTCAATCTCACTGCACACCCAGGGCGAGGTACTGCTGGTGCGCCAGAACGATCAGCCTGGAATCATCGCCACCGTCGCCTCTGAGCTGGCCAAGAAGGAGATCAACATCTCCTTCATGTCCGTGGGGCGCACTGGCCGCGGCGCTGACGCCATCATGGCCATCGGCATCGACGGCTCCCCCGACAAGGAGCTGCTGGGGGCCATCAGCTCCGTGCGTGGCGTGCAAGAGACCGCAGCTCTGAGCAACCTCCGTGCGTGATGCAGGAGCACAAGAAGCGAACAACATGTGGGACTGTGCCTCTTGGGTTGTGCATAGTGTGACAGATAGAGATGATGGTCGGGAGCGAGGCTCACAAGCTCACTCAAGGGTGAGAGTATGGGCTCGAGATCATGCCACACTCTCCAGACTGTGTCGCTGCAGGCTTGCTGACAAATCAGGTCCGCTCGCATCCATAAGCAGCCCAAGTCGACGCTCTGGCTCTCTCACTGAGGTGGCAATCAGTATCGCATATCAAAAGATAGACGCTACCAATGCCACAAGAACCCCTGCTGGGCTTACACCAGTTGCATGGGGGCTTCTGCAGATGGCAGCCCCTGCGCAGTTCGTTTTGGTCAGCCCTGATGGCTGACTAGTGGGGGGAAGGGGGCGAAGAGGGGGGGGGGAAGGACGAGGATGGGTGCCCACCAAAAATTGCGGGGCAAGGCGCGCCAGCCAGGAAGAGCTTGAACAACATGAGAATGCTGATCGCCCCGTTGACATCCCGGTTGACGACCCTGACGTTGCACGCCCGGTTGTCGCAGCGCTTGGTGCCCCAGGCCTCCTTCATCTCCTCCACGCCCTGCTGCACCTGCCTGTAGCGGTGGGTATGCAAGGCGGTGTGGCAGCCGCAGCACATCTGCGACGTCATGTGCTCGTCTACCACCACCACCTTGCATACCCTCCGCAGGCAGTGAAGGAAGGGTGCAACCGGAAGAAGCGCACAGGGACAGCGCCAGGTCGACACTGTTGCCATAGTTGGTTGGATCTGGTCTCCACGAAAAGTAACGGCGATCAGCTGTACAGGTATAACAAGAAACCGGGTGCAAAGTCTGCCAGGTTCACCCCCAAATCCATTGTGGGTGGCAAGGGCACGTGCGACTACGCCAAAAGAACCACACATTCGATATTCAGACTCTGTCAATCTGGAGGTGGCTACTATCAGCTGCTGCCACCTACCGCCCCGCTGCCGCTGCCTGCTGCCGTGTTTTGCGACCCCCAACCAACATCACACATCGCGAGCCAGAGTCACTGCGATCTGGGTGCCCGAGGGTGAAAGGTGTGCTTGGGACAAGTGGACCTCTGGTCATACGTTGAAGACCGCGCATCCCCTGTTTTCTTCACAGGCTTTTTGTAAAACACCGTAGGAGGGGTGCAGACCAAACTCCCCACCTACACCATCCCTTCGGACAAGGATTGGCTGCCTTGCATTGATGACTGTTTCATCTGTGATGCGAGCGACGCCCGCTGGGTTACAGGGTTCAGCGTTCGAAACAAGTTTGCGTGCAGAACAACGAGCTCGCGGCAGAAGCGGATGTGTAAGCGATCAGGTGTGCCCCTTCCTCCCAGCCTCATGATGGTTCGATGGCCTTGTGCCATCAATGTGCAATGCGTCCTACATACAGTCGGAACTGAGGCCGTCACTGTCACGCTTCAAGGAAGGGGGTGGGTGGGCGGGGCGGGTGGGGTGGGTGGGGTGGGTGGATGTTGTGGGGGCGGGCTAGACCCACAGCGTGGACTGCTGTATATGACCTAAGATAGGAATGTTACAGACAAGGCCCCGAATGCAGTGTGTTGATCGGGTTTCATAGGCGTCGCAAGGAGGCGTGGACTCGGGGCAGAGCGGGAACAGGTGGAAGGTGGGGAAAGCGCCCGGTCAAAGGGAAACCCCACAACAGGTGCGCTGCTGCAGCCATGCAAATGGCTGGCACTTGAGGGTGCTCTGATATGGGGTACGCCCTGCCGCATCCTGTTTTGAGAGCTGGGAAGGGGCTCTTAGAGGAGCCAGGGCCGCAGACTCCCAACCTGGGGGCGTCATGTTCACACCTCTGGGGTGAGATCCCAGACGATGATACTAAGTCAGCCAATCTAAGGCAATACCCCTCATTCCTCGCAGGCAACAAGAATCAGGGAAGCCACAACATTGGCAATAACAACAAGGGCAACGCCAACATCTGCAATGGCCTGGCTGGCGCCTCGCGACCCTGCACCTCAGCTGATCTGGTCACCGGGGACACCATAAAATCTTACTTCTACCCCTCCACCATCCAAGAAGCGTTCTCCTCCTCCGCCCC